GCCAAGGAGAAGAAGCTGCTGAAGCTTGTCTTGCAGTAGACACAGAAGTTGTGCGAGAGAGTTGGGCAGAAGCAGCAGCGGCCTCTGTCAGCCTTAGCCACCACCCAGTTCCGATTAGTGTCAGAGCCCTGCGGTCAACCCAGTGCCGAGGAAGAAGACGGATGCAGCTCGAACAGAGGAGGATGCCGGCTGGCAGCAGGCTCCGCACGTACTCCACGAAGTTCTGGGGCCTTGTCCTGTCCTGTTTCGTGCAGGCGAAGCAGGCCAAGAAGCGCTAGACAACTTGGTCTGGAGCCCGGCATTGGTTACAGGAAAAGATGCAGGAAGAATTGTTGCTGCTTGTAAGCCACTTGTAAGCACCCCTTGTCGATGTGTGTGGGTACATGTTTGTAGGTGGAACAGGAGGAACCGGGTCCAGATGCTTCTGGCAACAAAGTGTCAGTTTCTTTCCAGAAGGCCCGCGAATTTGAGTCTGCAGGGTTTGGAAAAGAAGCGGTGATTTCTATATCTTTCCGATAGAGCAGCCACAAGCCCAAGCGTAAAGCAACTAACATGTCAGCCGAGGCGATGAACCCCTCAATCGTGACACTGGACCTGACCACCGGCTGCGGAGATGCGACGTGAAAAGTGACGGGCATGATGGCCTCCGGTCGACGCACTTTCACGTACAAAACACATCTATGTCAGATGGAGCTCTTGCGCCAGATTGCTGCAGTGATTGTCTGCACACATCGACATACCGCAACTTTACAATAATGTCAATGTCCAACCATGCTGTTCCTGCGACTCTGGTCTCTTGCTTCTGCCCCTGCGGTCACCACTGGTAGTTGCTGCAGTCTGCTCAGGCTTCTGTCAACACTGGGCCTGTGATTCACTGCCTGCTTAGATAGTTCCCTTCAAGGTCCAGGCCCCCATCCCTCCTTCGGGTAGCCAAGATCGGGAACGGTTAAGGACGAAGCATGAAAGACCTGCAACCGCTCGACATAGGAGGTTCTGGCTCTTTGTTCCCTTACCCTCTCCCTGCGACCGGGAGGGCCCTCCATCATGTCGCTGAAGCTTCGGCTAGATTGGCAAGTTTGCTCATGTTTGGGATGTCCTGGCCTAGTGATCGGTTTCAAGCAGCAGCCTGAGCACCTGAGGAAGCTGCAGAAGCGGCTTGCCGCGTCCATCCTGGGATGCGGCAAGAACCGTGTGTGGCACGGGCCTCGAGAGGGCAGCGTGCAGCGTTTGTCGGATCCTTTTCGTTGGTTTTGGCTTCAGCGCCTGAGCCCAGACCTGCTCGTGCTGAGGCTGGATCCCAACGAGACCAATGAGCTTTCCATGGCCAACTCGCGCTTCAACATCAGGCGCGTCTGTCAAGCA